TTGTACGTTTTTCCCAACTTGATTTAAGGGAACCATTCCTGGAGCCATTCCAGGTAAGGTTCAGACATCACACAACACTCAGCTTTACCCCTTTTCTATAACAGTCATAAAGTGTTCATATAGTTCCAAACCCATTAATACTAACCTATCAGTCCATAAGCCTTCCAGGTCAGTGCCTCTGCAATGTTGGATCTAACTCACGATATAAATGCTCCGTCTGCTCAATGAATGAATGTTATTTTGCCATATGAAAATTAAAGATTTATATAATAAAACCTTTGCCCTTATAGTCCTGTACAAAATATATGGCTCAAATGACAAATGCAATGAAAGAGAAAAGAGTAGTATTGGCTTAGAAGGCTTCATAAAATAAGATAAATGTGAACTCGATATTAAGGAGTGATATGTTGGATTTGGGTGTGAGAAGAAGAAATGGAAAGGCATTTCTAACTGGAAGAACAGCATGACAAAATTACTTGAGGAGGCAGAAAGAGAGAAGATGGGGATTTTAGGGACCTTTTAGAGATGCTCCTGGCAGAAGTGTTTTTTTGGATTTCACAAATATTTGCTTATCTTCTTTGTTTCAATTGTATAATCTAAGGTTTACCCTTAATCTAGTGATTTAAGGGAGTTAGATCCCACATGGCTGACTATGGTTCAAATCCTGGCCCCAGGAGCTTAAAAAACATGCTGGGTGACTGTGTGTGTGTGCCCAAATCCTGACAGCATGGAGAAACAGAGGAAAATGGATTGTGTCATAATCGCAACCCAATGGGGGGCAGTGTTCTGTCTCTCACAGTTACAAAAATTGCCTTCTGGCAAAAAAATACAATTCTATAATCTAGATATGTTTCACAGTGAGAATATAGATTTTTTCATCAGTCAAAACTGTGAATTATTAAGTGGGTTATTTATTAATCCATATTGTTTAATGCCATAATATATTCCATGTCTATCCATTCTGGTGAAATTCCCATGAAATTCCAATTCATCACTCGGGAGATTCACCTGATGTACGAAGTACAATCTACAAATGGTAAAAATCAGGACACTAAAGCATCAAGCAGACTTGTGAATGAAGTTGATATGATAAACAAAGGCTGCTCACACCTCCTGAGGGTCGAGGATTCTGTAATCCCAGGTATGGTGCTGCTCATCATCCTGACCTCAGCAGAGCCGGCAGAGGTATAGTGAAAATAGCAAGTGTGTGCAGTAACTTGGAAAATCTGATTTGCATGGTTGTTATGGCAACAAGCACTATGCAACTTCTGTCAGAGATTTACTATGACATAAAAAGGGAAACGAGTTGATCATCACGGAATCTAGATATGTTTAGCCCAGTGACTGAGCAATTCCTACCACAGGAAGAATGGTACCTCACGGGCCTCATTGTATGGGGGTGGGAAATCGCTACTCTTACGGAAAACCTAAGAACTGAGGAGAAGGAATTTGGTCAGATTATGCATGAGACAAGGAGACATGTACTACTTCTTCTTTTTTTTTTTAAGGTTTTTGCCATAGTGCGTATATGCTCCCCTGAGAGAGACAGTGAGAGGGAAACTGAGAAATCACCCGTCCCGACCCAGGAGGGATGGCCACACTGCAATCCCTTCTCTTCCATTCTCCTTCTGGGATTTTGGATACACATGCACCCGGCACGATTTTCAATCCACCATGTATAGGACTCAAACTGCAGTGGGCCACGTGGGAGTCCAGCACTTTAACTACTACACCACCTGCTGGCTCTGACACGAACTTCTACCAGGTTGGCATCCTCATTAGTCAGGGGAACCTGAGTCATGCTGCAGAAACCTCGGTGACCTGAAACTAAGAGTATTTATAGCTAGGCTGTCTACCTGCCACGGGTTATCTGAGGGCTCTGTTCTGCTTTATTCTCATGTGAAGACACAGGCCGAGGAAAGCATCATTGCTGAGGTAGAAGACAGGAAGCATGGTGGGGGCACTGGCTTTTAGAGTGCTGTCCATCACTTCTAGTGACAACGCATTGGCCAAAGCAAGACACATGGTCACACCAGAGTCAAGAAATGCCAGTTCTCCCATGGGCCTAGAAGCAGAGTGTGCAGAACTGGGGGAAGAGCACTAGCTACCCCAGTCCACTCCAGCAGGCCTTGGCCTTGTCATGCTCGGCACTGCTGGCACTCGGGCCTGATAATTCTTTGCACGTGTGTGTGCATGCCCAAAATCTCGGGAGTAGAATGAAGTAGAGATTTCAGCATGGCCATCCCCTCCTGGGGGATGATTTCTCACTCACTTTCCTTCTCTCTGTCTCTGTCTCGCTCTCTGGTGAGTGCAAGAGCCCTATTAGAAAAAAAAGAATAGAGAGATAATACAATATTTGCTTAGAATGGTGACTGGCATATCATAAAACATATAAAAATATACTTCAGAGACTGAACAGTGATGCAGTAGTAACACAGAAATCTGCAAGGAGACCTACATGGGGAGGTTCTGGGTTTCTATCTGGAGACCTCTCTGAGAATGCCAGGCATGCGTCCCTGTGATCCGGCACTAGCCTAAGCCAGGGATGGATCATAGCACCAAGATCCTGAAGAAAGAAAGAAAGAAAGAAAGAAAGAAAGGAACTTTTTTTAAAAAAAGAAAAGAAAAAATATATATGATTTATGTATAAATAAATAGATAGGTTTAAATGTTTAGGTTTGTTTCTGTTTTACGTCACATTGAATATGCTATTTAAACGAGTGAGTCATCAGTATTTTATATCAATTGTACACAATGAGTCTTGGTACCATATGGGTTACTTTGGCCAAGAACAACCCAGTTCAATTCCATTGGGTTAGAAACGAAAAGGAGAGACCAGCAGATGGCATAGCCGTTATATCACTGGACTCCTACATTGTCGATTGCAGTTCAAGTCTCAGACCTGGTAACTTAAAACTCACTCCAGGCGCATGTGCGTGTGTGCCCAAGATCCTGAGTGGAGAATGGAGGAGAAGGGATTGAGGCATGACTATCCCCCCAGGGTGATTTCTCACTTTCTGACTCTGTCTCTCTGGTGAGCACATACACCTTATAGCAAAATGCTCTCTCTTAAAAAAATAAAAGAATAAATAAAAAGGAATCAGCGTGACTCATAAGGGTGACTCAAGAGACTTATATTTAATATTCTTCGCTTCTGCCCTTTTCATTTGGTGTTTGTGAAAAAATATTTTTAGTGAGCAAGAACTGAAAGTTTATTCTTTTTCATTTGAATGGTTGGTCAGAACAGAGTGCTCATAAGGTTTAGACCAAAAGTGTTTGATCCTTGTAAACCCCAAACCCAGAACAAGTTGCTGCCCCAGAACTGTCAGTATGGCCACCAGGGGGAGGGGGGTAAGGCTCAGGGACCCCAGGCAGTCAGGCGGAGTGTCTCACTTAGATTGCTATAATGCAACTCAGCAAACTTGTAATACGGGTTTATTCTTTTGGGTGGCTCTGGTTAGTGACAAGCACAGGGCTGACCTATAGTAGCTGCTTATTAAAGGTAAAATTAAAGGCATAGTAATTTGGAATCAGCCAGGTGAAGGAGAAAGAAAGAAACTGGTTTTCTTTTTTCTTTTTTTTTGGTAGAGGTTTTTGCTATAGGGTGTGTGCGCTCGCCAGACAGAGAGAGACAGAGAGACAGAAAGCGAGAAATCACTCCCCAGGGGGATGGCCACGCCGCAATCCCTTCTCCTCTGTTCTCCTCTTGGGATCTTGGGCACGCATGCACACGCACCCGGCGTGAGTTTTAAGCCACTGGGTCTGGGACTCGAACCTGACTTGAACCAGCGACATAGCCATTACGCTAACTGCTGGTCCTAGAAACTGGTTTTCCATCCAGCCTGAGGAAAGGACAGGGAACACATGCATCTACTTTCACTGCCTCCCAAAACTTTACTCAGATGACAGTGAAGGTTTTGTTTGTTTTTAAGACATAGATCCGCAAGAATGAAGAGCTTGGGAATGGAGAGGAGACTACAACAAAAATTTGGAACCTGGAGAAATGCCTGGTAAAAGGGCTTAACTGAGCCCAGAAAATTGGTGCTGGAGAAAACAGAGATCGAACCTGATTCACGGCACAGAATCCATGGCCTGAAGGAAGCCAAACTGGAAATACCAGGTCCCTTTGACATAGGGATGAAAAGAAGTTGCCCAAGAAAGTTTGTCTGGAAATATGTTTAAAAAGGAGTCAGAGTCCACAATCCCTTCACTTTGGCCGAAAGTGCCGAAAACTCAGGGTTTTTATGTGAAGATAGTTTCTGGATTAAGGATATGAATATTGAACTGAAAAAGATGGGGAGTTGAGGATTAAGTAAATGCATATTGTACTCTGCACCCTCCTGCCCTCTTTCTCTTCTGGGAAACGAAGAATTTGCTGTAAAGACTCTCAACAGATAAAGAGGACACCTAAAAACACAGATGGTATTAGTTTTCCAACTAAATAGTCCAGCCAGATCATGCTGCAGTGAGGTTAATGACTGACAAATCCCAGGCACGTGCTCAGAGCTTTCTAAGAACACTTAGTTCCCCAGCTCTTACATATAAATCGACAACTAAGAATTACCACTTGCTAAGGAAAGTCTCAGACACGATAGAGACCCAAACAAGTACACATTAAAATGTAACTTGGAGGAGATAGGGACAGTGCAGGAAAAGAAAACTTTAACAGACATATACCAATATTCTTAGGAAAAAATAAGATAGTACCGCCATCAAATAAGAACAGGGAGTATTAAAAGAGAACATTTGGAGAACAAAAATAACTGTTAGAAATTAACAGTATGGGGCCAGCAGGTGGTATGGTAGCTTAGGGCACTGGACTTGAGTTGCGGATCTGATGGCTTGCTTTCTCACTTCTCTCTCTCTCTCTCTGTGGTCAAATTAAAATAAACACATAAAGTTAAATAAAAATAATCATTAAAAAAAAAAGAAAAAAGAAATGAAAAGTACAGGACCAGCAGATGGCGTACCAGTTACATCACTGGACTCCCATGTGGTTGACTGTGGTTTGAGTCCTGAACCCAACAGCTTAAAACTCATGCCAGTTCATGTGCATGCGTGCGTGTCCAAGATCCTGAGAAGAGAATGGAGGAGAATGGATTTCGGTATGGCCATCCCTCCTTGGGGGTGATTTCTCACTTTCTGTCTGTCTCTTTCTGTATCTCCGACGAGCACATGTGCCCTATAGCAAAAACAAAAACAAAACCCAAAACTCTCAAAAAAAGAAAAAGAAATTAAAAGTATAAGACATAAATTGAAAACTCAAGAGAAAGGTTACAGAATTAGTCTGAAAACATTTCCTATAAAGCAGAGCAAAAAGAAAGGAGTATAAAGGGAAGAAAAAAAATAAGAACATTGGAAGAATAGTACAGGTTGTCCAACATTTGAATAACAGATGTACTAGAAAAAAGCAAAGAGGGAAAAAGCAAACAGAAGAAATAATCGATGAGATCATTCAAAAACGATTTCTCTGACCTGGAGGCATGAATTTCTAGACAGAAAGGGCCATCAAATGCCCAGGACAAACTGATGAAAATAGACCCACAACCAAGGCACGGCAGCAGAAAACACAAAAACACTTGAGACAAAGATAAAACTTTAACATTTTGAGAGGGGAAAAAGCATCTCACAATCAACAGTTCAAGATGGAGGCCTTCTCAGTTTTCTCAAAACCAATACTGGAAACTAGAAAGATATGGAAAAGAATCTTTTTCATTTTATTTGTTGACTTAGAATTATGTTCTCAGCCAAATCATCAATTAAGTGTGAGGGCAGAATAAAGATAATTTTGGAGTGTAAGGTCTCAAAAAGTGAGCTTTAATGAATGCTTTCTATGGAAACTACCAGTGCCGTGCTGTCTTATGTGGTAGTCACTTACCACATGTAGCTATTTAGATGTATATTCACTACATTAAATACAACTTTAAGGGGCCAGCAGATGGCGTAATGACTACATCACTGGACTCCCATGTAGTCAACCGCAGTTCGAGTCCCGGACCCATTGACTTAAACACATGCCAGGTGCGTGTGTGTGCATGACCAAAATCCTGAGAGGAGAATAAAGGAGAAGGGATTGCGGTGTGGCCATCCCCCCTGGGGAGTGATTTCTTGCTTTCTGTCTCTCTCTGTCTTTCTGTTGAATGCATGCGCCCTATAGCAAAAACCTCTCCAAAAATATTTTTTTTTCAAACTTCATCTTTTAGTCATACAACCC